TTTTTTTTTTTTTTTTGCCAGTAGCAGGTGTCATGCGACGCACAGGGACTTCACCATTTTTCAGAGAGTTTATCCCTGACAGAGGTTCTGTGATCTCCTTTCAATCATCACCAGTGTTCAATCTCAAGTTGAAAAAAGTCTCCAGGCTTGTCCTCAGTCTCAGGTTGTAAATGTGTATCTGGATCTGAGCTCCTGGCTGGTTCTGGTCCTCCACAGTCCTCTCCATCAGGTTCTGCTTTTATCTGTTCAGCTGAGCTGCTGGCTGAAGGCTCTGCCTCTCTGTTCTCCTCAGTCTGAGTTTGATGAGACTGTGAGGACTGACATCCAACACACTGGTGGTTTCTGAGCTGTTTAGACCAAGTGAATCTTTGGTCACACACGGTGCAGCTGTAAGGTTTCTCTCCTGTGTGGGTTCTCGTGTGATGAATTAAGGTTTGTTTGCGAAGGAATCTTTTGCCACACTCAGAGCAGCTGTAAGGTTTCTCTCCTGTGTGGATCATTATGTGTTTCTGTAATATTCCATTCAGTGAAAAAGATTTCTTGCAAACTGTGCAGCTGAATGGTTTCTCTCCTGTGTGGGTTTTATTGTGTGTTTCTAACTGTCCACGATATGTAAAAGACTTCTTACAAACTGAGCAGCTGAATGGTTTCTCTCCTGTGTGGCCTCCAATGTGTTTCTGTAAGCTTGCACTCTGTGAAAAAGATTTGTTACAGAATGAGCAGCGGAATGGTTTCTCTCCAGTGTGGCTTCTCATGTGTACCCGTAAATGTCCACCCTGTTTAAAAGATTTCTTACAAACTGGACAGCTGAAAGATCTCTCGTCTGTATGAGTGCTCATGTGTCTCTTCAGATCTGACCTGGTGGAACATTTTTTCCCACACTCAGAGCAGCTAAAACGTTTCTCTCCGATGTGACTCCTCATGTGTATCAGTAAATCTACACTCTCTGTAAAACATGTCTTACAAACTGAGCATCTAAAGGGTTTTTCTCTTGTATGAATGCTCATGTGTCTCTTCAGAGGTGATTTAGTGCGAAATCTTTTCCCACACACAGAGCAGCTGTAAGGTTTCTCTCCTGTATGGATTCTCATGTGTTTCTGTAAACCTCCACGCTCATTAAAACCTCTCTTACAAACTGAACAGCTGAAAGGTTTTTCTCCTGTGTGAGTGTTCATGTGTCTCTGTAATTGTCCCCTTTGTGTAAAAGACTTTGTACAAACTGAGCAGCTGAATGGTTTCTCTCCTGTATGAGTTCTCATGTGTCTCTTCAGATCTGTCCTGCGGCCAAATCTTTTCCCACACTCAGAGCAGCAAAATCGTTTCTCACAACCAGTACATGTCCAATCACTGTCAGAGACTTCATCATTTTTCTGAGAGTTTAAACCTGACTTGGGTTCTCCGGTCTCCGTCCAATCATCAACACTTTCATCAGTCTCAGGTTCAGAAGACTCTACAGTGATGTCACGAGCCTCAGGTTGTAAATGTGTATCTGGATCTGAGTTCCTGGCTGGTTCTGGTCCTCCACAGTCCTCAATTTCAACTTCTATTTCCATCTGTTCAGTTGGTCTTTGATGAAGCTGTGAGGACTGAGGTTTCTCTTCATCATCTTCACTCTTCACAGGGACAGGAGAGAATGTGAACTTTATGACATCATCCTCCTCCAGCCCTTGAAGCTGCTCTCCCTCCTGACTGATCCAGAGTTTCTCCTTTTCCTCTTTAATGTGTGGAGGCTCTGGGTCCTCCTGGTCCACACTGGAGCTCCACTCCTGCTGCTCAGGGGGAACCTCTTCTTTAACCACTGACAGCTGCTGGACGTCTGCAGGAAGCAGGAAACAGGAAACACACAGATGTTACAGAGAAATGTTGTCGTTCATTCACATCACAGCTCAAAAAGATCTCTGAGCATCAAACAGCTTCACAGTGTTCACTCGTTCACAAGTGTGACAACTGGCAGCTTGATTAAATAAAGTGCTGGCCATGAAATCGATATATTGCCCAGCTCCAGAACAACCCAGCATAATTAATGTTGTGGACCATTTAAAGCCACCTTCCCAATACAGTGGCATGCAAAAGTTTGGGCACCCCGGGTCAAAATTTCATTTACTATAAAGAGTTAAGTAAGTACACGATGAACTTATAAACAGTCTGACTCCTGAAACCTCGTCCCAACAATCAGCAGCCATGGGCTCCTCTAGCTGCCTAGCACTCTGAAAACTAAAAGACCTGATGAAGACTAGAAGAAGATAGCAAAGTGTTTTCAGATAGCTGTTTCCTCAGTTCATAATTTCATTCAGAAATGGCAGTTAACAGAAACTGTGGACGGTCAAGCTGAGGTCTGCTCGTAGGATTATTAGAAAGGCAAATCAAAACCCTTGTTTGACTGCAAAAGACCTGCAGGAAGATTTCTCAGACTCTGGAGTGGTGGTGCACTGTTCTACTGTGCAGACACACCTGGACAAATGTGACCTTCATGGAAGAGTCATCAGAAGAAAACCTTCCCTGTGTCCTCACCACTAAATTCAGCCTCAGACATTTGCAAAGGAACATCTGAACAAGCCTGACAAATCCTGGAAACAAATCCTGTGGACTGATGAAGTTTAAATAGAACGTTTTAGACAAAATGAGCAAAGGTGTGTTTGGAGAACAAACTGTTAAACACGGGGGTGGATGGATGATGTTTTGGGCTTGTGTTGCAGCCAGTGGCACGGGGAACATTTCACAGGTAGAGGGAAGAATGGATTCAGTTGAATATCAGACATCACAGCATCTGTAAAAAAGCTGAAGAAGAGAGGATGGCTTCTACAACAGGACAATGATCCTAAACACACTTTCAAATCCATAATGGACGACCTCAAGAGGAGCCAGCTGAAGTTTTTGCCATGGCCCTCACAGCCACCCGACCAAACATCATTAAAAATCTGTGGATAGAGCTCAAAAAGCAGAGCATGAAGACAGCCCAAGAATCTCACAGAGCTAGAAGCCTTTTGCAGGAAGAACAGGTGAAAATCCTCCAAACAAGAACTTAAAGACTCTGAGCTGGTTACAAGAAGTGTTTAGAAGCTGTGATACTTGCCAAAGGGGGTGCTACAAAGTACTGACCATGCTCAAACTTTTGCTTCAGGCCCTTTTCCTTTTTTGTCATTTTGAAACTGTAGAAGATTGAAATTACAAAGTAATCTTACTGAAAATACTGAAGAAATGTTTCATCTTAAACTTCCTGCCTTTTAGAGATCAGTTCACCTTCTACATAACTACTCACACTACACAAAATTTTGACCAGGAGTGCGCAAAGTTTTGCATGCTAGTGTATGTAATGTTAGTTTCCAGCATTAGCTAACTTCATGCTGTTTCTCAACTCAGTCACCAGTGGTGGAAAGCAGCTAAGTTGAATTACTTAAGTAAAATTTTACTTTAGACCTAAAATTTCACTTTAAATAATTTTATTTAAGTAAAATTAAAGGGATAGTGCACCCAAAAATGAAAATTCAGCCATGATCTACTCACCCATATGCCGAGGGAGGCTCTGGTGAAGTTTCAGAGTCCTCACAACACTTGCGGAGATCCAAGGGGAGAGGAGGTAGCAACACAACTCCACCTAATGGCTGACGGCGAGTTCTTGGACGTTTTAATCTGGGTCACCATCAGCCATTAGGTGTGCAGTTGTGTTGCTACCTCCTCTCCCCTCGGATCTCCGAAAGTGAAGTGAGGACTCTAAAACTTCACCTGAGCCTCCCTCGGCATATGGGTGAGTAGATAATGGCTGAATTTTCATTTTTGGGTGCACTATCCTTTTAAAGCAATAGACACATTAATGCTTCAATAAATGGCTATATCTGCATTCAAAATAAGGTTTTGACACAGAGAATATACTCAATATATAATGAAGATAAAATAGGGAGTGCTGCACTGAGTAAGTATAGTTAGTTGTAAAAAAATTAGGTGCTCTTCACGGATGGGGCAAAGAGTCACTTAAAAATAAAACAAACACCCGACCAGTTGACTCAGTGTAAAAGTCCACAGTACAGGCAGGCAGTCCAAAAATGCACCTGAGGCACTCTGACTGTAGTTTATTAATACACGGTAAACCAACACGTTCCAACGAGAGAGTCTTCATCAAGGTGTAAAATGAATTGGAAACAGGTGTGCAATTAAAGTGCTCATGTCATGTTACACAGGTCACATGATATGTTAGTGTAGCCCTACTAGACAAAAAAACAACACACTGACAGAAATTGCAAATAAAAATGACATAAATGTATCCTATAAATAATTAACATGCTTAATAACAAGGAAAAAAATTCAATGTCAAATAAAGAAAAAAGAAACAGTGAAATAAAATAAGAATTATTAAATATTGTGACAAACCTGCACATAAAGTGGCAGAAACTGAAAAATATAAGAACTGTATGACAAAGACATTAAACAATGTGTGAACGGACAACAAACGCAAAACATTTATAACGCTGAAATATGTATAAAGTGTATAGCTCGTGATAACTGAAAAAGGATTTAAACTTAAATATTCAAAGGCAGGAAAAACTTTATACGGCATCGCCCTCAGTAATATATGAAAACATGTCATCAGTGATATTGTACACTTAAAAGAGAGCGTATACAAACACTCAGCTAACGACACCAGAGAAGCTAACGACACCAGAGAAGCTAACGGCACCACAGAAGCTAACGACACCAGAGAAGCTAACGGCACCACAGAAGCTAACGGCACCACAGAAGCTAACGGCACCAGAGAAGCTAACGACACCACAGAAGCTAACGTGGCTTTAATCGTCGACAGACTGAATATTTATTGAACAAAGCTGCAGTTATATTATTAATAATGAACTTGTAATGTTTAATGAACAAACCTGCTCTGTGTAACCGAAGCTGAGGGTTGAAAACAGCGTCCAGTAGTTTCCGTTGTCGCTCGTTCTCCTCTTTTGATCGACAAAGTTCCTCCTCGTACTCTGCTATCGTTCTTTCAAACAGCCCAAATATATCTTCAGCAGCCGCAGTTAGTCGCTGCTTCACCAACGATCTCAGCATTTGGACTTTAGACATTTTCACACTTTAAAAACACAACAAAGACACTCTGCTAACACCTGCTTCTACTGGACGCCATCTTGTCCAAACAGGATAAAGTTAGCCACAGGAAAGAACACAGCTTCCGGGGCATATATGTTTCTGAGCTTCAAAATAAAAGTCCAGAAGTTTTACCGAAATTACAGGTTTTCTCAGAAAAACACACAAGAGTTCTTTAATAAGTTGTTTTATACTCCAGTAAACACTGTGAATTACGCAAATTCAATTTGTTTGGGAGATTATTCTTGTGTCGCACTATAAAGATAGTTGATATGAATAACTATTGTGACACATAAATAAGAACCAGGATTTAAAAAACAAAGAAGCAAAACAACACCCAACTCTAAATATTGTTTGCTCACAGCAGCAGAAGAGTGACATTCTTACTCTCATGTTTTTATTTCATATGCTCCAGAGTTTCATCACTGCTGAAAGTTTCATCTGAACCAGCAGTTTTATTGCCGCTGCTGTCAACGACACACTTATGACCTTTGACATGTGACTGCCTGGTGAATCTTTTGTTTAAGACTTTTCCCACATGCTGAGCCTCTGAAGGGTTTCTCCTCTGTGTGGACTCTCACAGAGACTCTTTTTTATCCTTGTCTTGTGTAGGTTTACAAAGAGCTTAAATGTGGCCTACTCAGAATCCAGCAAAGCAGATAATCATAGAACAGCTTCGAGAGACAACTACTGACTGAAAACAGGTCTTTTATGACCTGAAACAGCCTTGCAGTAAACTCAACTGTTCCTTGGGACAAAGTCACATTTCTATATTGCCAGAAAAATGTGGGGATAACTGCTCTCTGAGAAAATTTTATCTAATGGACAGTAAAAAAGACTGAAAGTTTGTTGTGCATTTATGGCTGGAGCACACTGAATGCCGGCTGTTCCCACTCTCAAAGTAATTATCAGTTAACAGTCCTTCAGATTATCAGACATTAACTTCACACACATTGCTTTGCTGGTGCTTTGCTACTCAATTCTAGTGAAATTATACTGGCCATGCTTAGCAAAACAGAGGAAGCACACAATGCCTTTCTAAAACCAGCATCCTTATTATGCCCCTAATGCAGAAGTAAAGCTGTCCTGCATTTAGTCAACTTTCATTTAAATCACACGAATTATTTAAAGCGCACGTTACCTTGTACTTGTAGGTGGGGTACTCCTGCAAAAGCCTTACGTCCTTACACACAAGACAAATGGAGATTACAGCTATCGGCCACCATCTGAGCCCCGTTCTGCCATTAACAATAGTTTTTATTAAGTCCTATCAGTGGCGATTAATTGGACAAACAGATGAATCGGTCAACCTCTATAAAGTATTACCACATGGGGTCAAACTGCCCTGTCTTGTCTGTTGTTACCTGGAGAGGTTGGAAAAAGATATACGTTTCTTCCCTGTTCCAAAATCAAACCCTGAAAAGTGTAGGGTTAGCTAGCTAGCTACTGACGATATAGCCTACTGAATGTATACACATGCTGCTTTTGCTTTTTAATGATTATAACAGTGAAACAAAGACCGACCCTGCTGTACAGGAACCAGTGAAGGGAAGCAGGGAAACTTTGCTCATATTCAACCAGCTCTGTGTGTCAACGCATTGTGTGCAGATGAACGTTGCTTGACATCCCCCATTCGGCGGCAGAGGTCCAGGTGCTGGCAGCAACACGGGGGTGAAGCTATCTTTGTCTTTTTAACCTGTTGTTGCTGCTGAGTCAGTTTGACATCCTGGATATATCCTTCAAACACAGACTGTAGACCCCTCTGTCTGCTTCTCTCTGGAATCACTCTTTCATTTCTCAAAAAATATGATCATATTTCTTCAGTTAGTTACAGTGTGGGCTCCATGCTTACTGCGACAGCTTGTTGGACCATCACAAAGGGGCGTGGCTTAGCAAACGGTCAATTTACATAATAAAGATACAACTCAAATACAGTACATTTGATGAAACATCTGATTTAATACGTGATTTGTTGTCTATAGTGGTTAAAGAGCTTCACTCTTCATTCTAACTGAAATAACATCACTCAGGTTCACAAAAACCACAACAGTGACAAACTCAGTTTTCCTTTTAAAGGTATCAAAAAGTGAGCAACTAAATGGTTTCTCTCTGTATGACTCCTTATATGTCTCCTCAGACTCCCATGACAAACTTTTTTACCACACTTAAAATGTAACTGTTTATTGTTAATGTCATATGATGTGCTGGAACTATCATTTTTAAGAGGGTTAAAACCTGACTGAGGTTCTCTGGTCTCCTTCCACTCATCATTAGTGTTTATTATCAGGGTCAAGAGGGTCTCCAGTCTTGTCATCAGTCTCAGGCTGTAAATGTGTATCTGGATCTGAGCTCCTGGCTGGTTCTGGTCCTCCACAGTCCTCTCCATCAGCTTCTGTTTCCATCTGTTCAGCTGAGCTGTTGGCTGGAGGCTCTGCCTCTCTTATCTCATCAGTCTGAGTTTGAAGAGGCTGTGAGGACTGACACCCAACACACTGATGAATTCTGAGTTGTGTAAGCCAGGTAAATCTTTGGTGACAAACAGTGCAGCTGAAGGGTTTCTCTCCTGTGTGGGTTCTCATGTGATGAGCTAAGTATCCCTTGCGAGGGAATCTTTTGCCGCACTCGGAGCAACTAAATGGTTTCTCCACTGTGTGGATTATCATGTGTTTCTGTAAATTTCCACTCTCTGTAAAAGATTTGCTACAAACTGGGCAGCTGAAAGGTTTCTCTCCTGTGTGAGTGCTCATGTGTTTCTTCAGAGGCGTCTTGGTGCCAAATCTTTTCCCACATTCAGAGCAGCTGAATGGTTTCTCTCCTGTGTGGCCTCTCATGTGTATGTGTAAATGTCCACTTTGTGTAAAAGATTTGTTACAAACTGAGCAGCTGAATGGTTTCTCTCCTGTATGAGTGCTCATGTGTCTCTTCAGCTCTTGCTTGCGGCCAAATCTTTTCCCACACTCGGAACAGCTAAATGGTTTCTTACCAGCAGTAAATCTCCAATCGCTGACAGAGACTTCATTATTTTTCAGAGAGTTCAAAACTGACTGATATTCAATTGTCTCGTCATCACTGACATCAGTCTCAGGTTCAGGAGAATCTCCAGCCTTTTCGTCAGTATATGGCTGTAAACATGCATCTGGTTCTGGTCCTCCACAGTCCTCTCCATAAGCTTCTGTTTCCACCTGTTCAGTGTGTCTTTGATGAAGCTGTGAGGACTGAGGTTCTTCCTCTTCATCTTCACTCTTCACAGGGACAGGAGAGAATGTGAACTCGGTGATATCAGCCTCCTCCAGGCCTTGAAGCTGCTCTCCCTCCTGACTGATCCAGAGTTCCTCCTGTTCCTCTTTAATGTGTGGAGGCTCTGGGTCCTCCTGGTCCACACTGGAGCTCCACTCCTGCTGCTCAGGGGGAACCTCTTCTTTAACCACCAACAGCTGCTGGACGTCTGCAGGAAACAGGAAACACACAGATGTTACTGTCAACGAGCATCTAACAGCTCGACAGTATTCACTCAGATAGAAGTTCTTGCAAGTCAAATGCGAAAGGCAAATATTGTCCTTTTTACTCCACTACGTTTGTTCATTTTATCAATAAAACTTATAATCAATCAATAAATGAATGATTATATTATTAAATCAGTAAGGCTTTACTGGTCCCCAGGGGGAAATTCACAAACTAGCCACCAGTACATAAAGTGAATGATGCAAGTCTATGATTAATAACCCTATTGAATTGGGTTACTTAGCTTTATCATTGTTGTAGGCCTAAAGAAATTCTAACATTCTCTAATTGTAAAACTGCGTAGCCTCTACAAAGAATTACATTTAAAAAAAAAATAAAAAATTTTGTCAACTATGTTAACAGCCCAGTAGTGGTTGCTAGTTTTAAATCTCCCTGGCAAGGCTAGCAAGGCTTTCCTTATGATAAATTCGAGAAATAAAGAAGTTATTGTGCAGTTACTACTACTCTATCTGACGATACAGTTTCTCTAGATGGCATTGCTCTGGCCTCTAGCACTACCACAAAGTAATATTTGACCAAGATTTGTGTTTTGACTCCCATATAAAACAAAGTTCACGGGCTGCGTTTTTTCATTCTGTCTCAAAAAAAATGCAGAAAAAAATGGTCCACGCTTTTGTTACCTCAAGGCTGGATTATTGTAACTCTCTATTATCAGGTAGCTCAAATAAGTCTTTAAAAACTCTCCATCTGATCCAGAACGCAGCGGCACATGTACTGACAGGAACTTCGAGGCAAGAACACATTTCTCCTGTTTTAGCTTCTCTGCACTGGCTCCCTGTAAACTAAATTTAACACCCTTCTCCTAATTTACAAAGCTTTATGGTCAAGCTCCGTCATATCTTAGAGAGCTCATAGTGCCATATTATCCCACCACAACACTGCGCTCTGAGAACGCAGGGTTACTCGTGGTCCCTAAAGTCTCCAAAAGTAGATCAGGAGCCAGAGCCTTCAGCTATCAGGCTCCTCTCCTGTGGAATCATCTTCCTGTTACGGTCCGGGAGGCAGACACCGTCTCCACATTTAAGACTAGACTTAAGACTTTCCTCTTTGATAAAGCTTATAGTTAGGGCTGGCTCAGGCTTGCCCTGT